TGCTGCAACCTGGAACTCAGCAGGTCAAGGTGGACAAACACCAATTTCACTTGTCCTTAATGCCCTGGGTTGCAGATTATAGCAATGCAGTAGCTGCAGTGGAGAGCTGAGCCATCCTTATGGCAGAGGCAAACCTCTCTTGCTGCCTTACTGTAAATCAATCCCACTCATCCATCAGAGCTTTCAGTAGGCGATTCTTGTGTGTGACTGGAGCTGTCTGAATGGTGGTGCAGTAATGTTGTAAACCATCTCTCTTCCCTGAGGCACTTGTATAATAGTCAGTGAAAGCTTGTTCTGTGCCATTGGTATGTTTTGCAGTGGGTTCAGTGGTTAAACAACCAAATGATAGTTAAGAAGTTCGCTGTTAGAGCTAAATACCTTCACTGGTGGTGCCTTCCTGTCCATGTTCCTATATGTCCCTGTACTTACTTGAATTAGGATATGGTGACAAGATATCCTGTCATCATTAATGCTACACAAACTAATGCTGATGCCTCTCTTCCTCATCCTCCCCTTTATTAAAGTTTGGGATTTTGGTACTTTCGGACATATTTAAATTGGAAATAATGCTGAATTAGGACAGGCTGTCCCTTGTGATTGTGCATAAATGATTGCATCAGGCAGTGTTGACTCCAAAGGAATTTGTAGAAATTTATTTCCAGAAAGCAGCTGAGTTACCAGCCTACAAGGGACTGATCAATAGCAATTGGCTTCAGCTATCACAGTGCTTTTAATTTGGTAAGTTGTCCTTTTGTCGTGCAACATCAAAGGATTCTTCTGGCTTGAGGAACCTGAAGAAAGGGAATATTGACTTTTGAGTGCTTAAAATCTGGGATGCTTTACTTTCAGTTTGTCTACAGCATCTCTGGATAGACAGAACAAACTGTTAAAGTTAAAAAGATTATTAAGACAATGCTGTGCAGGGACATTTTAGTGCAGCAATTTAGTCATGTATGTCTGGTCATATTAATGGGAATCCTACTGCTACATCCCTGTGCACTCTGCTAAATAATTTGCCTAATGATTTCAGTTAAGCATGGAAAACAAGCACCATCTGAAACTGTTTGCTTGACATACTATGTTTGATGCATGGGAGCTGGAGAGAAAATACAGTGCTGCAATGTGAGTACCTCAGTTCACTGTACTGTAAGTGAGGGGAGGAGACTGGTATTAAAACAAAGATGTCCTGGGACATCAGTGCTTATTGTGATGGATGCAAAGCCTGTACCATGAGTCCAGCTTGTATCCTGCTGCTAGGAGTGCACCTTTCTGGCCAGAGGTTTCAAAAGTCCAGTTGGGCAACTCTTGACTGAGTTGGGCTCCTGGCTTCAAATAATTTGCAAAGAATTTGGCATTAGGTTAAATTAGGACACAAACTGCTACTCCTATAGTGAATTTTTCTCATGTCTTCCCTTTAAGTGAGATTTCAGCTTTGGTGTATGCAGTTTTGGTACTTCCCATCTGCTTTTGGAAAAAAATTTAAAGGTAATGTCTGATCAGTTGCCTTCCCTTGTGGTACAGTTCCATTCATATAATAATAGGTTACACAGCAGATAGTTCCTGACAGACTGTCCATATCATATTGCTTGTTTCAGATGACTAATTCCTTCTGTTATTATATACAGCAACACATTGAATTATTAAAAAAGACATAATAGAAGGCTTTCTTACCTTCCCCATATTCAACTGATCTTCCTATTCTTCAAGTATTTGTGGCAGAGCCAGGCCCAAAGCAGAAGTTAGAGCAGACTGTGGGAATGCACTAATGATGCATCTCTAAGTCCAGCAGAATGATGAATATCCTCCTATCATATCTAGGAAAGGTTCATTGTCTGTTAAATAGTGTGGTATTAATTGTGTTACAACTCAGACATCAGCAAAGCTCCTACACATCCCTGGCTGAAAGCTGCCTGTCATGTACCTTCCCACGTGTATTGTGTTTGGGCTGCAGTGAATAAAGCTGTGTATGCTCAAGTGTTCAGCAAAGGGGAGCTGGGCTTCACGAGTCACTGGACTGCTTAGGAAATACTTCAGAGAAACTCATGTGCTGCTAGAAATGAAGCTTTCAATGCTTAAGTCACAGTCCTGTCCCTGAGCTCAGTTGGAAATACCGTGCTGAGTGTGATGACAGAGAACCTAATGCTGAAGTGCCATCACACACAAGTGATGAAACAACCCCAAAATACTTTGGGACATATTTTTACAAGCAGCAGCATATCAGCTCTTATGTGCTCATCAAATTCCAAATCAAGTAATCAGCTTGCAATTTCAAATGGCAGTGTTATTGTTTGCTTCATTACCTACTGCACTTGCTAATGCTGTTTGTGCAGGATGGTCACTATTTCTCCAGCTTAGCAGCAGGTACATTTTAGCAATGAGGAAAAAGAGCAATTATCAGCCTCCGCAGCACCTTGGTTCTCTTCAGGATGAATGGTGCAATATACATGTAGAGGATTATTTAAAAACCCATTGCAAACACTTCTAGCGTATTAGCCATAATAATAGCCTGACTGTTTGAACTGGCAGTGATCCAATTCCTTCGTCAAGATGCACTACCTGGTGCATGTGTTCATAGACCAACTGACTGGATCATAAAATAGCAGGATGGCAAAAGCATCAGGAAAACAATGATGTGTGTTTATGTTGCTGTAAGTTATGGATGTGTAATAAACAGGGGACAGGAAGTTCCTGAGCCACTAAGGATAAAGGTGAGGGTTTTACAACAGCTATGAATTCTGAAGAGTGTGTTTAAGTCTGGACAATCTTTAGCTGCTTATCCTGATTTTTTTTGTGTACCAGACTGATGGTAGTAAATGTGAACTAGGTAATTTACAGACTGGAAAGTGTAGCAGAGCAATGTTTTGAGTTCACTGAGCAAAGGAAGATGATGTAGAATATTTCAAATCTGAAGTAAAAATATAAGGGCCTCCATAAGAGTGCAAATGAGGCACAGGTCTGAATTCATTTTACATGCAGTTTGTTTGAAATCTGAGGTAATATCAAGAGAAAAGTTCACTTGTATTATTGTGGATATGTTGTTTAAATATAACAGAGATATTCTATGAGATTTATTTTTAATCTAGTGCTTATTAACACATCTGCAGCCATTCTACAAAGCATGTATCCAAGGGGAGATGGAGGCATGGCACAGTGCTGGCATTGACAACAGCAGATATCTAATCAGCATATCTGATATATACGTTAATGTTGATAATACTCATTGGTATTACCCAGATAACTTCTTGAACAAATGATGTCTGGGAATCTATGCAACTTGTTGAATATTTAAACTTTATTTTGCAATCCAACATTTGTGTAACATTAAAAAAACCTCCCTGGAAGGATTTACTGGATGTCACTGTCAGTGATTACTGACAAGTTTGGGTTGTTGGTATGCTGTGTGTGCTCAAAGCTGGCAGAACTTCTACAAATGTGATTTATATTGGGCTACAACACTCAGCTCAGTTCTGGAGCAAAGCATCTTAGACTTAAGTGCAAAACTTCATAAAGCATCTCCATAAAGGTACTGTGTATTCTTCACTCTCTCTGTTGCTGATTCAGAGTTAAACATGGAAGAGGGGCTAGGTGGTTCTCCATCACCTTGTCAGCTACTCGGGTGGGCCTGACAACTAAGCAAGTCTCAAGTCCCAAATTTTCCTCAGTTCCTGCTCCCTTGTTCCTAAAGGAAAGCCTGGAGAGAATAGGATCAGTAACTGATCCTGATATCTACATCTAATTAAGAGATGTATCAGGCATAGGCCTAATCAGCTAAGCCTTAGGGCACCTCTATGCAGAGGACACTTATCTTTTCAGTCTCTATGGGGGGCTCATTCATTCACCTTCTGTGAACTAGAGTTTCTTCCTTTACAAATGTGTCACTGGAGAAGAGAGTGTTACTCAACATGAGTAAATGTGACAGCAGCTGGGTCTAAAGTTAAGCCTAATCTCCTCTGAAGTGGGAACTGAAGTAGGCCTAACCCTGCTGGATGAGTCAGTGGCAGAATCAGGGCAAGAGCAAGAATCCCTTATTACCAGCTGTGCGATATAAACACATGCCTTCCCTCGCTGGCTTCCCAACCATCCATTAACACAGCGGTAGCAGTTAGATTCAGTTTGGTTTTTTTTAACTTGGGATCAACTTTCACCTATTTTTGAGGTAGGCAGGAATCCTTCCTCCCCTCACTCCTCATCAGCTTTATCTGCTCCCATAAAACACCAGGATATCAGACTCCTCATGTTTGCCAGCATTAAACAAAACTTGCTGGCAGATACAAAACACTTCATGTTTGCTTGGTTGCCCCGTACCTGTCAACTGGGTACAGCTCTTACAGTTCATTCTTCATGGGACACTGCAGCCCCATAAAAGCTGTGAGTCAGGCCTCCAGGAAAAGTCATGCATGACTTAAAATCACGAGGATGATCAAAAACAATAAAATGCATATTTTCAGGTTGCCTTTGGGTTTTCTAAGGCTGTGAGGCACACCCATTTCAGGTCTTCAAGCTCTTCTTTGCAACCACTAAGGCTGGAAATTGAGGGCATTCATTTTTCATGAGCTACACACAATTTCCTGTTTTCAGAAAAACAGGGAATATTGTAAGACCTAATGGCCAGGACTGTCAACACTGGTGCTATCACTGAACATACTTGGTAATACTAAATATGTGATTTCTTTCCTTTTCCATCCAGAATGAGGGTTTTGCTTTTCCCATCAGCACAATGACTCAGTGTTTGGATATGTCAATCTATTTGAGAAAGTATAGATTGCTTTTGCTGAGAATTATTAAAAATTGTATCACTGGCTTGGTGTTGGATGAAAGTCACAGAGGGGTGGACTGTCCCCTGAGATGGCATTTTCAGCCTACTGTCACCAATTTACCTTGGGCTTGGTGTATTCATTTAATCTCTTTACCTTCACACAGCTTGATGCAGTTAGACTGAATATCATTCTGAATTTTCTCCTCTTTATTTCTCTTCTCAAAGCAAATTCTGAGTGTAACAGCTCAGGGCTGGATAGGGCATACCCCATCATCTGGACCTTCAGACCAAGCACTTCACTGGCAGCCGTGTCCCTTGGGTAAATGGGATTCTGCAAAATGACAGTGCAGCTTGTGTGGGCAGGGGACAGGCCACGTCCCAAAGTAAGTAATTAATTCCCTCAGGGCCTCATGGCTGTCACAAACATCACCATCTTCTGCTTCCTGTGCTAGATGCAATTCCTAGAGCTTGTGTTCTTGGATGCAAAGGGAGTACTAATAGTACCTGCCAAGACATGCGGTCTTTCCCTTGGAAAAAAAAAAAAGGATGAGAAAACAAACTACATATGATAGATGTTAGTCATGTTGCTTATTGCACTGTTGGCATAATCTCCCCCTGGGGCTCCTATACTCACATCCAGGATTTGGGGATGAGTCAGGCATACTGCATATGTACTTATGGATGATCTGAGCATACACAGAATATAATGGGAATTTCATGATGTCCCAACTTGCTTTTGCTTCCCTCTGTGCCACAAGGTGTCTGTAAATCCTAGACAGAGTCCTTCTCTGAGACAAGGTTGCTGGATGGAATAACACAGTATACCTCCAAGGAGCTGCATGTGTGGGAGCATCAGTTAATTTGCTATAATTGAATAGACTAATGTTGCTAAATCTTATGACATTATTGCTGGCCATGTGACGTTGGTGGTGATTTCTTGAAATCTCTAGATTCTGGAGTCATGTTAACACTCAAGGATCTCTATTAAACAAAGATTTCAGCCTCCACATTTATAAGATAAAGTTGTTTCCTGGGATTCCCCAGCATATCAAAAAGTGAAGGCAAGTAAGAACACACTGAACCTGTATTTTGAAAACCAAAAGTCTTTAAACCCATCACATGGCTTTGGGGGACCTGAACATTTATTTCTGAACAGCTTGCTGTGGCAACTTGATAATTTTCCTTTAATAGTTATGTCTGTTCTTGTGCAGCTTGGCTTCCTACACCTTCTGTAATAAAACTATCAATGTTTTGTGTATATTAAACTGCTTTATTTTTACTTAGAGTTCCTGAAGTCACTAACAGGCAAGACAGTGTTGTATGCAAGGCAATTATTCAGGCATTACAAGATTAAAACACAGAATATATTTCCTTGGGAAATAAAGATTTCAGACAGTTTTTTCTATGTATAGAACAGGGATAAAAGCTTAAATGCTGCCTGTTCTGGTTCCCTGCTTCTAGCAGAAGAAAGGTTGGGTTTTTTCTTTCTTTCTTGAGAGCAGAAAGATTGTTTAAAAACAAGGATCCAAAACAGGAAGGATATAAAAAAAGGCATGGAGCTAATGTAATCGAGGATGTTCCTTAGGCCTTAGTGGTAGTGTCTCACTTCCATGAGGCAGGAAAATTACAACAACATAGCAATGAATAAAGTATTAAATGCTGCTGAGACTTTTATAAGAACATTTTCGTAGTTCTTCCAGGTGCAGTGGCATTCTTTTAATTACCTGGACATGACAAAGAATGCTGCAATGCCGAAAGGTTTATTCTCTGGTATACATAAGTCAATAAAGGTAACAGCCAGGGAAAGCAACTCAGCAGCAGGTAGCATATTCTTTTCCATGCACAGAAATGGTGAAAGTTGTTTGTTCTGATCTTTCCATAGTTATTATGCTGCTAACAGGTGGAAATAACTTTAAAGGATATAAAACCCACTCATACAAATGCCACTTGATTTAGCCATCAAATGAGTTTGAAGTACTGATGTCTTCCCAGATGCTGGCAGACTCCAGTGTTTCCTATTGTGTGTTATTCAATTTAATATATCTAATGCCGTAAGGAGTAACATGACCAGCCATCATGGTTGCCCACCCCTGTCTTTTTCTTTGTCACTATATACTTAGACTCTTCACCACCAAGGGCCCCTATGCTGATGAAGCCTCTGCACATCTGGTAACTACTCTGCTTTGCTGAACAAGAAAAGTTTTATCACCCCATTTTTCACCAGCCCTGACCCGTTAGAAATTGTACTCAAACTTTTCCCAAGGGCTTAACCAGGAGCTCATTCATCGGGAGAAGAAGCAGTCCTACACTGAAGTATCTTCTACAAGTGTTGCCAATGGGAAATCAAACAATATTTTTTGGTTTTTGCAATTAAACAATTTGTCTACTGAGCATTAATACTTGCCTCTACACTAAACCTGCTCCCTCTGTACTGGTTAGAGACTGCACCTGAAAATGCCTGATTTCTGCCATGCCCTCAGCTCCCACTGATTCCAAGGACGACTGAACTCATCCCATTTTTATATGCCTTTTGCAGGTCCTATCCCTTCTTCCTTCAAAACCTGATATAATCCTAATAAATACTCTGACACTCAGCAACTTGTGAAATGAGCTATTATAAGGGAAGTATTATCTAACAGCACAGCAGAGATAAGCTATGCATGTTGCCCAAGATCATGCATAAAATCTCCTGTAGCACTGGAGGAGAAAACCCTTGAGAAGTAACTTGTGTTAGATGTGGACTAATACATAACTCTCTAATGTTTATGATTTCCCGTTTTTCTTATTGCTTTAATTTCTCTGGCTTACTCAAGACTTAATGTTGACTTTTAGCTACACTGGATGTTTTGTTAGCAAAACCTTCTGTTCTATGGTTTTTACTTCTCCCAGTTTCTCCTTTCCAATGGGAAGGGCTCTGGCAGGCACCTCCAGCACATTCAGTGGTAGTTTTGTAAATGATCAGTGCTCCTCCCAGTATGTTCTACTGGATGTTATTGACACTAGCATGAAAGTATTATAGCTCATAATCCACCAATTCAGCACCAACGCATCTCCACCACTCCTTTAAGCTGTAAAATGGGCCATATGAATTATAAACTAGGTTACCATCCCTTTCTTCTACCCTGACCACAAAGGTGGAAACTTCTCATGGAGAATATGGATGCAGAAAGAGGGGATGATGAAACCTTATCCTTCTGTGGCTAGGCTAATCTGCCACCGCTGGAACTCAAGGCTGTGGTCACTGCTGTGTAGGTAGAAATACTGGGCAAGGTCTTATTGCCAGTAGTACTGTAGTAGCTAAAACCAGAGTTTGGTACAGGCTAGTGACTGTAAGTCAAGAAATATTACTCTGATTGATTTTGCAGTCCATGTGGCTTAGCAATGGCTTCTACACTGGTTAGCAGTGTATTAGCTTCATTTTATGTGGTTTGGGTACATCTGCATTACATAACAGCCACTTCAATGCCTGTCATATAGACATAACTTAATGCTGACATATTCAACTATATAATTAGGTGTGTGAGGAAATTAACAGCAGTATACTAAGTATTATTCTTCGTGAGAGCTAGTGAGCTTGGTGTGGGGTGTGTAAATGTTATTTTGGCCCAGGAAAGACAAGAAATTAGGTAAAATTCATATTCCCAAGCAGATTGTAGAGAATGCTTCATACAAGAGCAAAGCACAGTGTAGGTTTTATAAGACAGTGTTTTGGAAGAACTTGAATTACTTATACACCCCAGCTTTCTCACAGCTGAAGCACACAGGAACCCATTGTACCTTCACATCTGGGATGTTATACTCTAGGAGGTGTGACTTTCAGAAATATCAGAGTTTTGCTAAGTGAAATAAACAAATTCAGCTGCAGTCTGGAGCTCTGAACTCGGGTGTGATGCTCTCCTTCTGCAGAACTTGTTTTTTGTGGCAACTCTGATTATTAGGAATTTCCCAAAGCAAGGAAAACTTTACAAGCCTGTAAGATGTCAAACTACTGTCAAATGGCCATTACTGTGAAAACAGAAGACTATCATGCTTTCATTCTTTAAGATTGAAAACTGAGGGGGCATAAATTTATTATCACGATTACAGAATGTTTAAAGACGAGGATAAAATCACCTCCTACAAGAGGTCTGACTGGGAGCAGAGAGATTGGAAGAAGATGCTTCCTTCTAATATCACGATTTTCCTCTTTCCTTTAGGAGATCAGTAGAAAAGGAAGAAAGAAGCAGAGAGAAGAACGCTGGGAGGGAGGTGTGATTTATTGCTCTGATGTTATAATTTCCTAGTTTATCAGCTATGTCATAACCCCACTACTCAGGAGTACTTCAGAGGGCAGCAGAAGAGGGGAATGTGAAGAGCAGAAATGGAGAAAGATGAAGAGGGGAAGGAATCGCAGGGAAGAAAGGAGAATTCGTAAACCTCTGAAGTTCCAAGTCAACTGATGTGCATTAAGAAACATTAGCTAAGCATTTACAGCAGGAACAGAAACGTTCCTGTGACTGTAGTACGAAAAAACCTCTCCTCAACCATAGACCTGTCAGTGGTCCAAATCCTCAACCTTGTTCTACATGTACTTTTGCTGAGGAAGTTCACCAGGAATTTGCTGTGTTTAACTCTGGTAAGTTGCTAATGTGTCTTTTTAATATGTCTTGAATAGTGCACAGTACATTAAAAGATAGTACAGAGAGTCGGACACCGGACTTTCTTTCAGTTAAGTTAAATTAAATAATATCTGGTTTTATAAAATGTAGCAGTGATGTGGTGGGAATGTGGATGGATAGGCCTCTGCTGTCCCTGATTCCTTTTGTCACTGTGGTCCTCACACAGGCTATGTCTGTGTAGAAGCTGCTCACATATGATGGTACCGAAACGATTTTGATCTGTTACAGGAGAACAGGAAGATGATACCTCTGTCTCTGGCCCTTTCTTCTCCTTGTGTAGAGTGCAGGGAACATAGTCTGTAACCTATGTTCGCTGGCAATTCCTTGGGAAACTGCCAGCATGGAGGTGAGAGATGGATAGACTCTGTCCCTCCTGATGCGATACAGTGAGTAAAGCACACTTCAGAAAGGCAGTAAGGATGTGTCATACTTCTGGCTAGAAGGACTTAGGGATTTCTGTGATAGCTGTAGGATCCCTGAATGAAAGGCACTACCCAAAAGCAGACAGAGTTATCAATCTTCCAACAGGCTTCTTTCCTAAAGTAGAATACCAGGACAAGACTCATCCCACTTCAGTTTGATGTCCCCCACCAAAGCTTATGAGAGAGCTCAAAGCTGATCGTGACACAATAGTTGCATATTATGGGACAAAAAAATTTGTGCTCTAGGTATACTAAAAATCTAAGCTCTAAATTTCCAAAAGAAAGCACACCAAATCTCAAATAAAATTATAAACATCTGTGAAGCTACAGAAATGTCCTGGTTTATTACTTTCTCCACTAAAATGCTTTATTGTTTTTAAATCCACCAAAATCTGATGACATTTTGACAGCACAGTTTAATTGTCTCACTTAAAGAAACACTGATCAGATCTGCTTTGCTGTAAAACTTTTTATTGGCTGCAAATTTCAAGCCATTCCAGTACCCGGAACTGCTTTAGAAAAAGACTTGAGGCATTATAATTTTACAAGGAGTTAACTGCATGGAGATTTTTGCAAAACAAATGCTTGCTTCTAAGCAATCAAAATGATGTTTTAGCTTTTCTAATGAGGTAGTTCCCTCAAGGAGCTGGAGAACACTGAACACCAGATACTCCCTCTGTTGTTGCAGCAGATTTCTCTGGCATTGACAAACAGCCTATCTGAACTAGCAATGTCAGATGGACAGTAACAGAACAAACAAGAGCATCAAACCCATAATAATCCAGTGCTCTTGGCATTCCTAAGCAGGAAGGTAGATGGATGAACAGACATTTTTGTCATTTGGAACATTTATATCTAGATCCTGGACAGATGCTTCGAGCAAACTGCTTGCTTTCTAGGCACCAGTGTGTGCTTGAGCACCAAGATTATTTACACAAACAGGCTTCTAAATCCAAGAATCCAGGGACACAGTGTTATCCAAGAGCTTTGCTATATGCAGAGGAGGCAATAGAAAGTCGCAAAAGCAAAAAATGGCCCAGAGCACCCTCAGGGGTGCACTAAATTCTGCTGACTTTTAAAGCCCTCCAAAGGAGTGCTGGTAAAAGTCCCTGTTTGCAAGGGCATGTGGTGGTAGGACAAGGGGGAATGGATTTAAATAGAAAGAGGGTTGATTTGTATTAGACATTAAGAAGAAATTCTTTACTGTGAGGATGCTGAGGCGCTGGCACAGGGTGCCCAGAGAAGCTGTGGCTGCCCCATCCCTGGCAGTGTTCAAGGCCAGGTTGGACGGGGCTTTGAGCAACCTGGTCTTAGTGGAAGGTGTCCCTGCCCATGGCAGGGGCTTGGAACTACATGACGTTTAAGGTCCTTTCCAACCCTAAACATTCTATGATTCTATGATTAATGGATCACCAAGCAGTGCTGCCCTGACAACAGGGTCTTCCTTTAGATTGCAAGGACCAGAACCCAGATAGGGCCAGCTTTCTCGTGTGGATGGAGACTTTTCAGTGGACAAAGTTGTCATATTAGAGCATCTCTGGTCCCTTTATACTCACAATTTAGTACCTGGTTGCCAGAGCCGTTGGTAGCCTCTGGACTTTCAATACAATGACCTGTTTCATAGAATCAGAATTTGTGGAGTTTTCATGCAAGCATGGTATATGGATACTTCAGTTTTACAGAGTTTAGGACTCCAGATTTTAGTTGTAAATAGTAATGCTAAAGCCCTGTTTCTGCAGTAGGGTGAAAGGCAAGCATATACAGAAGCCACTATGTGTAAAAATGCTACTGTTACGGGTAGGACTGAGGAACACAGAGAGGCTCTCAGCAAGACTGCAGTTCAGTGTGTTGATGACTAGACACACATAGCATGAGCCACTCCTTGGCTGAAAGACTTTACTATCTACATAGACAAAGCAGATGCAGAAGAAAAGGCACAGAGGTACAAGATAATTTCTTTGCCTAAAGTTACTCATGGGGTGACAATGGCAACACTGTTCTGAATACCAGGCCATGCTCAATGAACAATTTAACATGGATATTAAAAGCTTAAATAGGGAGTCGTTAAGGCTTTAAAAAGCCTCAGCCCAGATTTCTAAAGGCTATCTAGAAGGAAGCTCCCAGACTTGTAACCGCCTGGCAAAACAATCTGCCTCATTTTGAAAGATGCTGAGCAGCCCAATAGCTCCAACTAGAACCAGACTGGAGCTCTGCTCTGTGGAGGATCTCCATCCTATCCTGCTCCCTGCTCAGTACAGACACTGAGCAGGCACTTTGCTCTCAGGTCTGTTCTGCAGCTGCAAGAGGATCAATGAGCTGCTGGCTCTGAAGCAGGTGGTGTCACCCTGGGCAGGGCAGGACTGACCTGGCTCCACTGCTTTTGTGCAGCCATGCTCTGCCTGGCATCCACTTACCTGTTTTTACAGAATGATCCATTTGTTCTCAGCCTTTATCTGTGGCCGTGGTGATCACTGGTGATCACTGAGCTCTCCCCAGAACTCCCCCCACCCCCCTGAGAGGCAGAAGGACATTACTTTAGGCAAGGACTCATGTCTCTGGCTGGGAAACCAGTCATCATCATCATGGCTTGACTTCGCGAACGAAGATTTGGGAAGGGCTTTTACCAGTATAGAGAAAATAAAAGCAGAGAACTGGACTTTTTCTACATTATGAGGCTTTTTTATTCTGACCATTTTCACAACTGACTTGATGAGTAAGACTGCAGGATGCCATACATAAATAGCAAAAAACTTGATTTTCATTTCAAAATTTTTTATGAGAAATAGTCCCTGGGTTGTTTTGGAAAATGAATGCTGGAAGCTGGAAATCCTAATGGTAATCAGTGTTTTTTCATTTCCATATGTGCATCTTTCTTGCAAACTATGTGGCATCAGCACAGTAAATATCCTTTATGTAATTTAAAAGTAAAATGCATCATGAAGCAAGCTCTTCGTTCTCAATGATAACACCAGATAAACAAACATGAGGGAATCTTGAAATTTCCTGGGCTAATTTCTGCTCTTGGCTAAAATCCTACAACCCCCTTGAAGTCAGTGGTGTTCTGGGTTTGCAGATACAAGCAGAATTTGGACTGTAATTCTACAGATCTCTAAATGTGGGTATTGAAATAGAGAGCTGGCATTGCTGCTCTTGAAGGGCCACTGCCAAATGACTGCTGGGCCCAATTTCCACTGGGCTTGGGTAGCTGAAACTCCAGTTCATCCTGTTAGGATAATACATAGAACAGAGGTCAGAGTGGCTGTGGAAAAAATCTGGTGAGATTGAGGATAAAATCAGATCAAGTTTTAGACTCAGTTGTTCAAGAAAGTCTTGTGCTTATTTCTTTTGGATTTCTGTAGGCTGTCTCTCAGGAAGTAGGGGCTGATTCTGCTCTCATTAGAGTCTCTGGTGAAAATCTCAGCAGTCTCAGGGGATGCATGCTGGGCCCAAACAACTAGATGAGGAGAACTGAAATGATGTTAGCATTAAACACCTGATCCAAAGCCCACTGAAGTGAAGAAGAGTCTTTCTATTTACGAGCTCCGAAGATAAAGCTACCTTAAAATGAATACATTACTAAGATTCCTCAAGTGGTCTCTGAAGCTTTAGCAAAAGAAATAACAGCTGCTATAGCAGAAGCAAACATGAAAGGAAACAGAGAAAAACGTCCTCTGCATTTGTGTGCGTTAGGAGATAGCTTAAATGGATTTGGGAGAAGGGAATAAAAACTAAAAGAAACTCATTTCAGACAATTTTTGCCAACAACTTCTAAAGGGTATATGAATAGATGGCACTTAAGAACATGAGAATAAGTTGTGCTGAGATACCAGGGTGTTGGGAGCCTTAAATTACAACAGGCAGATCTAAACAATGCAGGTCAAGGAGAATAAACACTGTTTCAGTTGTAACATTATAAATGTGGACATACTGTTCCCTGATTGTTCCATTTTGCCATGCAGCATCAAATTGCCAGCATAGCTGGGAAACCTTTCACCGGCCTCATGGGTGTTTCAGCTTGTACTGAGATCCCTGCTTAATTGTTTGGAGCTTCTTCTGGATGGCTTTGTTCAAGCAAAATCCTGCCTGGTAGAATGAAGTTGTTCCATGGAGATGAACACCCCATCACATATCAGCCTCCACATGCTTCTAGGTCATGCTGAACATTAGTCTACTCTTAGAATTCAAAACTATTCCTATCAATGAACTCCTTCTCTGCAGTGGTTTACAGAAAACAGGCCTCTGTTTTCACCTGCTGGATCAGGGTCACTTTTGACTTTCCATCTTCTTTAGCTGATTTCTGACCTTCTCTCGGAGTCAAGGATGCCCTTCTCTGAGTGGATAACAGCTTAGTCATTTCTCTGATTATAAACTTCTCTCTTTCCTTATCCTACTTAGGGTTTTTAGCCTATCCGTCTTGAGGTCCTCAAATGAGAAAATTGAACACTATTTCTTTAATATTATGTCTTCTATTCACAGTGTATCAAGATGTACGTTTAATTTTTAATCCATTCTTCATTCTACCCCATCTTGTATAT